GGACAAGAGGCGTTTGTCCACCGGTAGAGCGGATCGTCCCGAAGAGAGGTCGAAATCCCACTCGCGCGGTGTCTTGTGTACATCCAAGTCACCTGGAACACTCACGTATCGGGCACGTTTTCCAAATATGGTGATCTCCTCCAGTGTGATCGGTTCGATTCGATCCTTCGATGTGTTGGCCGGTGTGACCAGAACGCCTCCGGTTAGGACGAGATTTAGCATACCATCGCATGATTCTAGCCGCCCTGTGACTTGGCTGTCATCTAACAGTGTGACACGAACCACCTGGCCGACTAACGCGGCCGGAAACAATGCGAGCAGGGACGAGCAAAGACGGTCTTTGGCACGCCAATTCTCACATGCCGCGCGATTATCCAAGGTCGCCATGCACTAATATACAGGGCAGAGAACCGTTAAGGCAGATGGTGCTTGGTGAATGGAACGTAAAATTCACGAAATGTGGAACCGAGATGGAGTGACTGGTCTTTACAGGAAGGATTTTCACAGATCGACCAATGCAGCTGACGCCCTGGCTGACTACTACTCCACGGTATTTATCCCAGAACCTGTTAGTCGGACAGACGGAAGCGGTCTTCCCGCAGTAGACTTTATACCCAGCGGATTCATGGAACCTGTGTCGTTTTCGCCGACAGAGGTCGGACTAAAACTGGCAAGTCACCGGGACTTAATGAGATACCACCCATACTACTGCAGCAATGCTCAGAGCAGTTAACAATACCCTTAAGCAAACTGTTCAACCACTCTATGAGAGTTGTCGTGGTCTCCGGACGAGTGGGAGACATGCGTGGTCTCTTCTATATTCACGTCGGGGGACCGAACCTTACCAAACAACTACCGTCCGGCAGCCCTGCTCTCGGTGGTCTCAAAGGTAATGGAGGGACTCTTTGACGACAAAATCAATGAGTTTGTCGAGTGAGACCGTTGCTTGCACGATGCTCAGCACGAGTTTCGTGGGAAGCGATCCTGCCAAACCAACCTCATTGAGACCATGGAGTGGTATACGAGTGCTGCGAACAGGGGGTGCAACTGGACGTAGTCATGCTATATTTTTCCAACGCCTTCCATATAGTTTGTCACTCTCTGCTAGTAGAGAAGCTGGCCAACCTGGGATTCCCTGAANCTATCTCAGGACAAAGACTGTTCACAATATTTGTGAACGATCTCCGTGTAGGAATACAATCAAGCCTACTGATGTATGTAAACGACGTTAAGATCTGCCGGGAGATTCGAAGCCCGTTAGATAAGTGTACTCTGCAAGAGGACCTAGACAGTCTTTTACCTGGTCGGTCGCAAATGGGTTGCTGTTCAACTCTGACAAATGCAAGGTTATGCATGCTGCAGGGCATCGTACAAAGGACTACTTGTTGGGAGGTAGAACATTGCAGAGGGCCAGACACGAAAGGGACCTGGGCACAGTCATTATCGATTATCTGTCCCAGCAAACTAACTGCAACACACTGGCCCGGAGGGCAATGTTCAAACTCAACCAACTCAGCCGATATCCGGGTAAATTCACACCAGAGTCTTCCCTCAAGATTTTTGCTACGTTCTTTAGACCACATCTAGAGATCAACATCCAGGCGTGCCCACCGCCACTTAGGAGGGGTGTCAACGCCATTGAGCGGGCACAGCGGAAAGCTACCGCAAGAGTACAGGGCTTGCCCGGGAACCATGTTTCTCGGTACGTGTATGTTGCCCTTAGAGCTCACTACCAGTAGTAGTCCAGGCTAAAAGAAAACAGTCGTTCAAAAAGCTACTTGACCAACACATAGCCTAACAGTACCCTGGCGCTCCGTTCAACATACCGTTGCCGGCCATCGGAGCGACCCCAACCTGGGGCATATGAGCACTTGCCTTTGATTGTCATACATTGTGTATGTTTGCAGATGAGGTGACGTGGATGTGTGATCCCCTAAATTTTATCTTTACTCTGTCCTCGCTGGTGCCACAGATGCATTCTGGGAACAAGGCCGGAGACCGGACGGCTAGCCACTTGGTATGTATCACGAAGGTCTACTTACCCAGGTGATAGAACAACCATCCACCACTAGACACACTCTCATCCAAGCAAGGCAGCGGGAGTTTTATCCCTCGTGGCCCAAAAGAAAAGGACACCTATAACGATAACAAAGGGAAAACCCACCGGCTAGACAATAATAGGAGGAACACTCGAAAGGGAGTGACTGGTGATAGGATAAACTCGGGTCGGCTCCCGACGCCCTATGGTGTTGAACGGAAAAATAATAATGATAAGAAAAAAAGAAGGGTACCCACCAGGTCCCAACGAGTTATCCTGTCAACCGATTAAGGGAAGAGAAATAAAAAAAAAGAATAAAAAGAAAGAAAAGTGAAAGAAAGAAAAACCTAAAAGAAAGCAAAAAGAGAAATAAAACGTACAGGTGATTCTGCGGGAGAATCACTCTCTCGGTTAATCACTCGCAGTCGAATACCGGAGTCGGGTAAGGGCGGAGGGGTACTGCCTCCCTAACTTCAAACAGAACTCATGAACCCGGACAACCCTCACACAGTGCATTCATCTACACACCAAAATCCTGGTCGGAGAGGCCGAGTCATTTAGCCCTGGGGCAACCTGTCGGTCTCAGTGACAAGTAAGCTACGGATGCGGTTCTGGAAAGGTGAGGGTGGAGACCCACTGTTGATTTCTG